GCGCCTGTCCATCTGCCCACCTGTGCGCCTGCCCATCTGCCCACCTCTGCGCCTGTCCATCTGCCCACCTGTGCGCCTGTCCATCTGCCCACCTGCCCATCTGCCCACCTCTGCACCTGTCCATCTGCCCACCTGCCAATCTGCCCACCTGTGCACCTGCCCCTCTGCCTACCTTCACATGTGCGCTTTGGGTCTTTTTATCATGTGGGTCTGGTCATGTGGCCTACAGGTCCCAAACCCACATGGAGGATAGCACCTCTGTTCGCCCTCAGCTCTCGCCCTACCTCCCTCTGCTGCAGTGGTGCTGGCCTCCTTTCCAGCTGGGGGCCTTCCCCACAGCTGACCCAACCCTGTGGTGGCCCCCGCTCAGGGCTCTCCCTGTCTGAGCATCTGACCACCCAGTGCCCGCCACCCTGCTGCCTCCTCCTGAAGGTAGTTCTGTGAGGGCAGGTCTTGTCCGCTGATGGCTGGGGTGAGCCCAGAACTTGCCAGGCTCTTCCAGGCACCCAGTGAACCTGCGCTAAGGAAGGAGCGGTGACTTCCAGCGCCAGGGACTCGGTGCAGCCTCACCTCCTTTCCAGACCAGCCATGGGGGGAGCCATGCTGTTAGCCCCATCCTGAACACGAGGAGCTGCCTGCTTCCTCCAGGCAAGAGCCCACACCCCTCCCAGGCCCCATTTGAATCTGGGCCCAGATGCCAGCTTCCTTTTCAAGGGGATAAGTGGCAGCCGATGTGAGAGTGCTCCAGGGCCTCCCATGAGCAAGTGTGCCCACCACTGTGCCCACCGATGCCCCTACGCCAGCCCCTCAGCTCAGCCCTGAACCACATGCTGTGTGCCACTGTGGGCACTCAAGTCTTCCTTAAAATGACAGCAAACTGGTTTTTGTTTTTGTTTTTTGGTTTTGAGACGGAGTTTCACTCTTCTTGCCCAGGCTGGAGTGCAGTGGTGCAATCTCAGATCACTACAACCTCCACCTCCCAGGTTCAAGCGATTCTCCTGCCTCAGCCTCCTGAGTAGCTGGGACTATAGGCATGCGATCATGCCCGAGTAATTTTTATATTTTTAGTACAGGTAGGGTTTCGTCATGTTGGCCAGGCTGGTCTTGAACTCCTGACCTCAGGTGATCCACCCACCTCAGCTTCCCAAAGTGCTGGGATTATAGGCATGAGCCACTGCACCCATTCCAACTGTTTTTTGGAATTCTCTGCTTATGGCTGATCTCCGATTCCTCCCTGGCTGGGCAGGGAGCTGGGCTGGCCTTCCAGTTTGCGCTGAGAACTGGGCAGGTCTGGGGATCATGAGGAGGGTGTCTGGGGCCTCTGGGTGTGACCAAGGCTGTGACCAAGGGAGTGGCCGGGAGAGAGCAGAGTTGGCTTCGTGCCAGGGGCAGGGAGTGCAGGTGCAGGGCTGGCGGGAGATCCAGACCTGGGGCCTGCTGTGCAGGACCGCATGCCCTGGGAGAACGGCCAGACCCTCCTTGGAGCCCTGGCGTGTGCCCAGAAGACCCAGCTCTCAGTGGGAAGGAGGCAGCCGCCATCCCCACTTCACCCTGTCTGCCAAGCGCAGAGCCCCACCTGGGAACGGCAGGCGGCGAAGGTGGGGCCGTGGAGGATGCTGCACTGCTTCTGGGCCCAGGACTTTCGGGAGGGGTTGGCCGTGCAGGGGTCCTTGGGCTGCAGGGCGTCCGGGCAGGACGGGGAGAGCTTCCAGCTGTTCCCGAACTCCAGCGCGTCCCCCACCACGGACCGGCTCCGCGTGGTGAAGTCGTTGATGGCGTTGCCGTCGAAGTTCCCGCACAGGCCACAGACCCTGCCCTGCAGAGGCGCCAAGTGAGTGGGGCCCTGGAGCCGGGGCCACCGGCACCCACGGGAGGTGGCACGGAGCCCAGCCCCAGGTCCAGAGCCCTTGGGAGATGGAGGGAGGACAGCCGGTTCCCCAGCCAGTGCCTGACAAACTAGCAGGGGACGGGCGCAGTGGGTCCCTGGGTGGGCCGCTGGGTGGCACCTGCTTCCCTAGAAAACCCTCGACCCACTGTGGAGGCCAGAAGGTAGGGTTCTCACCAGCCAGGCTCAGCGGGTTCCACAGGACCCCCCTGGCACCAGGGTTTCTGTGGCCGCCAGGTGATCCTGCAGGGCCTGGGAGCCACGGCCCGAGCTCACCTTGTAGTCCTGGTGCAGCCGGATGAACACGCTGGTCTTCCGGTCCCAGGACACGGCCATCCCGCGGGTCTCGATGACCAGGAAGATGCCCATGTAGCGGATCCTGTAGGGTGGGTCCCCGCCCGGCCCTCTGGCCACCGCTTTAAAGGTTCCCTCCTGGAGGATCAGCTCGTAGCTCTGCAGGGAGGCAGATGCTCTTGGAAGCCGACCCTGTGGTCCCCGGGGCGGGGCCTGAGATGCAGGGGTCCCCACCCAGAGCAAGGCTCTGCAGGTTCACGTGGCACAGAGAGCTGGCGTTCGGGATGAGCTGGGTCGGTGAGACCCTCAGTGAAGGTTCGGCAAGAGGCGGGGCAGGAAGTGCGGGGAGCAGGAACCACAGTCAGCCCCTCCTGCCATCTGCAGGGAGCACCCTGGCAGCGGCTGTGCCTTCTCCCCTGGGAGCTCTGGCCCCCCATGCTGGACTGGGTGTCTCTGGGTGTGGCAGGGCGAATGGCAACTCCGGAAAAGGTCTGTTTACATGCCAACTCCCAGAACCTCGGCCTGCAGCCTTAGTAGGAGAAAGCATCTTTGCAGATGGGATTCAGGGAAGCATCTTGAAATGAGATCATCCTGGACTATCTGGGGGGCCCTACGTCCAATGACCAGCGTCCTTACAGAGACAGAAGAGAGAGAAAAAAACCCGGAAAGAGAGAAGAGAGGCGCAGACACAGAGGGAGGCCACAGGCAGCCACAGCCACGGGACGCCTGGAGCCCGAGATGCTGGCACAGGCAGGAAGGACCTCCCCAGACCCTCCTGGGAGCGTGGTGCTGCCCGCCTGCATCTCTGACTTCTGGCTCCAGGACAGAGAATGCATTTCCGTTGTCTAAGCCCCGTGGTTTGTGGCTGTTTGGAACAGCAGCCCGTGTCAGGACACTGCTGAGAACCCGTGAGTGCAGCTGCACTCACGAGGCTTCCCTGGGCCGGCTCGTTGGCTGAGGGCCGGGGGGTTCACAGCCGGGGCCACTCTCACCTCCACGAAGAGCTTGATGGCCTTGGAGCAGGTGGTGCCAGTGGTCCCACAGGGGATGTTCTCCGTGATGACGCGGAAGGTCCCGTGGCTGGCGTTGCCCCCGCAGTAGTCCTGGGCCGGGGAGAGACAAGCTGCTGACTGCAGGCCCGAGCTTGCCCAGCCTGTGGGAGCCGGGGAGGGGTCAGCGTACCTGCGCCAGGGTGTACTCGCAGCTGCCTTCGAAGCTGTAGCGCTCGCCGTCAAAAGTGATGAAGTGGCCATCGCCGTAGGCCACGCAGGTGCCCAGGCAGAGCCGGTGGCTGCATTCCCACCTCCGGTTCCTGCAGGTGCTGCGAGGGGCCAGGACAGTGCCTGCTTACGGGGGCTGCCCTCCCGGCCTTCCCGAGACCCAGCACCTGGGCCCGTGCGGGTCAGCCTGGGGCCTCAGCCTCCCCAGGCCCAGCCTGGCCCTCCTCAGTGAAAGGGGTGGTCCTGCACAGTGAGTTCAGGGCATCCAGCCCCACCAGGTTCCTGGTAGCGCCACGGTCCCTGGGCCACCTTCCAGAGGACGCACAGGATGGCCCCTGGCTTTCCTGGCAACTCTCCTGCCACCACCCCACCTCACTCCGGCCAGTTCGCCGCCTGCCCTCCCTCCTGCCCTCCCCGCTCTCTCCCCTTCCTGCCCCCTGCCCTCCCGGCCCGCTGCCCCTCCCTCCCCTCCCCCTCCCTTCCCCGCCTCCTGCCTCCCCACCTGCCGCTCTCCCTCCCGACCCACTGGCCTCCCTGCCCACCCGCTGCCTCTGAGGGACCCAAGACCCACCAGGTGTTACAGTCGACCCTGATGGTCTCCCCAGGCTTGTAGGTGGCCTCATTGTGCACGCAGGGACAGTCCTCCTCGGCGATGCAGCCCCCACTCCCGTCCGACACCAGCCCCAGGGGACAGACACAGCCGGACACGCAGTGTGTGCTGAACTGTGGGCCCAGGCAGGTCCCAGTCAGGGCCGGACACCAGGGGGGCAGATACTACTCATCCTTGGGAAGGCACACCCAGGGCCCCCGGGCAATGCCCGGGCCGGGGCAGAGCTTCTGGTGGGGGGGGTTAGGCCTTCGGCCACGCAGTGTCTCTAGGACCACCGGAGCCCTGGGCTTGGGAGCTGGGGAACCTGGGACCCCTTCCCTGCCCACCCTCCCTGAAGCACAGGACGGCACCAGAAGACTCACACAGCCCACATCCAGTGTGTGGCAGCTCCGGACGCACTCGGCCCCAGGGGTGCCCACCGAGCTGTTGCTGCAGTCCAGGTACACCATGGGGGCCGCGCACCCTGGGGGCAGAGCTTGGTGGGAGGGGTCCTGCGGAAGGGCAGCCTCGGCCCCAACTGCCCCGGGCAGCCCTGAGCCTGTCCTGCTGACCAAGCTAATGAGGATTCCACGACACCAGCAGCCCCAACCCCAAGGCACCCCGGCCATGCTGCGGAGCAGAGACCCACTGGCCCCTCCATCCCTGGCATGACTGGGTGTGGGTGCCCGTGGCAGGGCCCAGGTGAAGACTGATCTGGCTGGGTGGGGCTCAGGTGGGGCAGGGCTGGGCAGGACAGGCGCCTACCTGTGCTTCTCTGCAGGGAGGCTCCCAGACAGCTCAGCTTCCCGCCTGCACACGAGCTGTGAGAGATGAACCGCACAGCCTGGACCTGTGGCCCACACCCCACACACCCCACCCTGGGCTCCTGAGCCCCCGCCGAGCACCCGGCCTCCCCAGCCTGGCCGCCTCCTTGTAAGGCCAGCTGGTGCCTGCCGCCGGGTTCTATGGGAGACCCCAAGTCCCTCGGAGGCTCGTGGGCAAATACACACAGATGGGCGACCAGGCAGTCAGGACCCTGGGGTTAGGAGCAGCCTTTGAGGCCAGGGTGGGAGTGGGGGCTGCCCCCTCTTTCCGGGCAGGGGCTGCCATTCAGACCAAGATGAGAACAGCCAGCAGGCATCCTCCCGGCCTCTTTCCCGGCCGGGAATTTTCTCTTCAGAACACACTGGGCCCACCCTGTGCCGCCCTCCCCAGCCTGGCCCCTTGTGTCTCAGAACCCTCGTGGGGGGCACAGAAGGCTTCGGGCGTGGAGCGGAAGTTCAGTGGGAGGCCACTGTCTGCGCAGGGAGGGCGGGTGGTGGCTTCGAGGAGCACCCAGGACCTGCTCCCCGGCCGGCTCTTACCACACGGCGCCCTCGTCATGCACGACCTCCCCGGGGGCCAGCACGGTGCCGTGAACGTAGCAGGGGCACTCTTGGGCGGGCACACAGGCACCCGCGTCATTGAGGAAGGTGCCGGCGGGGCAGGCGCAGCCATCCACAGGCACGAAGGTGACGCCGCAGGTGACATCGGCCTCACTCAGGCCGCGGCAGGTGGGCTGGCAGGCGTCCACCACGTAGGCGTAGCGCTGGGACTCGGGGCAGCTCTGCATGTACCTGGCTACGGTTGGGAGGAGGGGGGACAGGTCGGTGGCCGGGCAGCCCGCTGACCCCCACCTGCCCCATCCTCAATGCTGCGTCCCCGTCTGTGACTCAGAGATCACGAGGGATTGAGGTTCTTGCGAGGCTGGGATGAGGAGGTGCCAAGCTTGGGGCTGAGAACCGTGTGGGTGACAGGTGCCGCCGCCCAGGGTCCCCACACCCCCACGCAGCGTGACACCTCCACCCCGCGGAGCACTCACTGCAGACGCCGCCCCTCCAGCCGCTGAGCTGCACGCCCTTGGCGGCGCAGGCGAGCACGTAGGAGGACAGGGCGGCACACAAGCAGTCCTCGCTGCGCTCACAGTTGCAGCTGTCAAACATGCAGTTCTGCGGGGAGGGGGGCGTCAGGGACCCCAGCCCGCCACGGCCCCCCCACCCGTCCTGTGCAGGCCTTGGGGACTGCCTCACGGCCCCTCACCAAGTGGAAGGGTTTGGGGTTGATGACGGAGTGGCAGGGTGAGAAGGCGCCGGCGGGGTCGGTCAGCCGTGAGCACCAGTGCTGGGCGTAGTTCTCTGTGGGGAGGACCCGGCCCCATCTCCATGACCGCCCTGAAGTCCACAGCCCACCCCCAACACACACAGAGGCCTTGGCACCCTCAGCCCTGGGAACGGTGAGTTGGAATTTGGAGGCTCACGTGCTGCGCCTTGGGGGTCCCAGCCACCTGGCCCCAAGCACCTACCCCCCGATACCTCCCACCTGCCTCCATGGGGTCCCCAATCCCACCCAGGGGTTCCCGTGGCCCAGGGGACAGGAAGGTGCTGGGTGGCACTTGAGCCTGGGGTGACTGCGGGGGTGGGGGCGAGGGGTACCATTCTCCACACTGAGGGAGCAGGGGTCCTCGAAGCTGTTCCTGGCATTGGCACAGGCGGCCTGGGCCTTCCAGGTGTTGGCGAATGCTGCACCCGTGGCTTCCACCACCCCACTGAGGGCCGTGAAGTCGTCAGCCTGGTTCTGGTTGAAGTTCCCACACAGGCCTGGGGGCCAGGGTTGGGGGATGTCAGTGGCTGCTGTTGGACCCAGCTGCTCCTGGCCCCTGCCGGTGCTCCAGGCACCACACGGGGCAGAACGGCTGAGAGCCCTGTCCCCGGATTCTGCTTCCAGACCCATCTGCAGATAAGCCCCGGGGGGCCAGCCCCTGTGCGGAGCCAATGTGAGCCAGGGCAGCGCTGCCTTCTCCCTCCGCTTCTGGGGCACCGGTCAGGACACCAGCACAGGGTCTCCGCCGTGCCCTGGGAGCAGCCCCCTCCCTGGCCTCCTGCCCGCCTTTGCCTGCCCTCTCTCTGCAGCCTGGTGCTAGTCCAGGCCCCACGCCCACCGAAGGCCCCTGCTCAGCCTCACCGCACATCTGGCCCTGGTGGGCGGGGTCCAGCCTGACAAACACCTGCATGAGAGGCACCAGCTGCACCAGCAGCTGCAGCCCCAGGCCTGTCTGCACCACGACGAAGAAGCTCGAAGGCCGGAACAGGGTGATGTTGGCTGCGGGGAGTGTGGAGGAGAGGCCGGTCAGGGCTGCGGGGCCAGATATGGCCAGATCGGAGGGGCAGGGCATCCAGCAGGCCGGGCCACCCCACTGAGACCCGGGAGTGGGCAGGAGCCCTCACGCTCTGCCCTGTGCCTGCAGCCACCAAGTGGCCAGGACCCCCGAGAGACTGGGGCTCGGCGAGCTGGATGTAGGGTCCCCCCCGCAGCCTGGGTAGGAGCCTGGCACCCCCACTCAGCCGATGAGAAACCGACCACAGGAAGCTCCTGGAGCTGCCCGGGGCCATGGAGAGCTGGCAGGGGGCTGAGCTGACACCGCACAGGCTGTGGGAGCCGCCCCTGCTCGGGAGGCGCTGCCCGGCCTGGCCATTCTGGGGCAGCTGCGTACCTGCCGACAGGGGCAGCTGCGTGTAGATGGAGTTCATGAACACCTCACCGTCCGCCTGTACCCGGATGGCCTGCCAGGAGGAGGCAGGCGGGAGGTCAGCTGTGGGGAGGAGCCTGTTCCCTATTCTCAAATGAGGGAGTGGCCTGCCCAGGGGCCACCACAGAGAAGCTCGGGCCTGGGCCTGCGGTGGGCTCTGCAGCTGCCCGCCAGGAGAGGCTGCCCAGCCTCGAGGCTGGAGGGGAGCTCTGACCGCACTTGTTCCCCACACGCCTTCAAACGCCCCTTCCCGCCCCAGCCCAGGCCCAGGCCAGCTCCTCACCAGGTCCCCGCCATTCAGGTTGAGCGTCACTGCTTTGAGGCAGTTCTCGTTGTCCGTGAGGCCACACTTCCGCAGCTCGGCCAGCACCGTGAAGCTGCCGTCAGCACATTGCTGGGGAGGGACCCATGCACGCATTGGGTCTGGCTTGATGTGGGGCGTCCCCCCAAAATGTGCTGGGGACGCCCTTGTGGGGGACGTGGCTCTGCAGGGAGGTGCCTGTGGCCCCTCTGCTCACCTCCCAGCAGGTTCTCTCAGGGCCTGGGGCTCCTTGACCCCGTACCGCTCCGCAGGGAGATCCACCCCTCCATGGCCATCATGGGGACCCAGGGCTCCCCCTCAGCAGAGATCCACCCCTCCATGGCCATCGTGGGGACCCAGGGCTCCCCCTCAGCAGGGAGATCCACCCACTATGGCCATCGTGGGGGCCTCCCCTGGGCAGAAGGGGCGTGAGGGTCCCCTGGAGGGGCTGGGTGTCTGGAGACCCTGCCCCGAAGCCAGACCTTGGACAGGACATAGCTGCAGTCACCGTGGAGATCGTAGAGTTTCTCGTCGTAGGTGGAGATGTGGGCCCCGCCCTGCACGGAGCAGGTGCCCGGACACGGCAGATCCTGGCACTGCCACAGCCCCCCGGAGCAGGTGCTGGGGAGGGAGGCCGTGAGCGGAGCAAGTGTGCTGGGAGGAGGCAGGCCACACCCTGCACACCCTGACCCCAGGCCATCAGGTGCATACCAGGAGCTGCAGGTGGTGTTGAAGGAGGCGCCCGGGCTGTAGGTGCGGCCGCCGTGGGTGCAGGGGCACTGCCCGAGAGGCAGGCAGCCGGAGTGCGTGACATCATCTAGCACCATGCCTGTGGGGGGGGGCAGCGAGGCGGGGCTGGCCCGTGGATGGGGCACCACTCTGAGGTCAGAAGACTCCCCGCCTTGGGGACGCGCCACCCCCCTCCAAGAGGAAGTCGGGCACCAGGACGCAGTCCCCGCCCTGAGCCCCACCTATTTGGATGAGCACCAAGCACCTCTGGGCCTCAGTTTCCCCACCAGGCTCGGGTGGCAGGGCTCTGCCTCCCTCCACACATCGGCTGGTTGCCCGGCGCCCTCCCAGCCAGTGCCCGCCCCTGCCCTGGGTCCCCGGGTGGGACTTTCTGGCATGAGGGGCTCTGATCTGGGCCTGATGAGGCTGGGGGCGGGGTTGGGAGCAGAGACCCGAAAGCCCCCGGGGGGCGCCCAGGGCACCCGGGACCTGCCTGGGGGGCAGAAGCAGCCGTCCACGCAGTGCTCCTCGCAGAGCTGCGCGCGCTGGGGGTTGGAGCAGGTGTCTGCGCAGGGCGAGCCGCACTCCTGGTGTTGCATGTTGAGGGGGCAGGTCCGGGCTGCGGGGAAGGAGGTAGGGCTGGGCCGGGAAGGGACCCACGCTGTCCACGTGGTCAGCTCCAGCCACCTGCCACCGCCTTCTGCATGCCATCAAGTCCGCAGAAGCCAGAGCTGGGCCCCAGGATGGTTGTGAGGTCCACCCTCCAGCTGCACCCCCCGCCACCTCCGGTGCAGCCTCTCCTGCTCCTGCAGCCCCCGGAGGCCCCGCCCCTTCTTGGGGTCCTGGGGCGGCCTCTGCCAATATGCCCAAGGGGAGTCCTCTGCCCTCAACCCCCATCCCCCAGGCCTCCCCACCCCACTGTGGCCGCTGAGGCACTCTCCGTGCCCCTTCTCCCCAGCGTAATCCCTGGCGAAGGCCCACGGGCACTCACGGCAGAGGTCGGGGCGCCTCCAGTTCTGTGGCTGGCCACCTGCGTGGGCGCACTGGCGCGAGTATTCCGCAAAGGTGGCACACAGGCAGGTGGGGCAGTGGCACAGGTCCTGGGTGCAGGCGGCCATGTACTCGGCGCTGTCCACCAGCGCCTGGCACTCCGCAAAGGCCGACCCCAGCAGGGTGCGGCGGCAGATGCCCTCCTGGGGAGCACAGTGGGCCAGGCTGGGCACCCCTGTCCTTCACTGGGGCTGCCACAGCGCTGGAACACAACCCAGGCCAGGCCAGGCCAGGAAGGCCTCTCCCCCTCGGAGCCCCTGATACACAACCCCACGCCACCCACTGTGGCCTCACAGCGCCAGCGCAGAGCCCCGCTTGGCCCTCGGGGAGTGACCCATGACTCTGGGCCCCACCGGGATGTGCCTGCCTTGGAGTGAGTGCCCAAGAAAGGTGTGGACCCCGCCTTGGGAGGCAGCTCCTAGAAAGGGAGGTGGAGGCCCTGCCTCTCTGGGCAGCTCAGCCGGTTCAGGGCAGCCCAGCGGTGAGTGTCCTCTGTCCCCAGGCCCCGGGTGTCCGGCTGTGGGGCCCCGCTCCCCACTGAGGGCTGACACTCTCATTCATGGCACGATTTAAGGCTAAGAGATCCTGCTGGTTTGGGTTTCCAGAAGCCTCCAGGCCCCTTCTGAGTTCCCGTGCCGGTGGGAAGGGCTTGCTCGGGGCTCCCCGAGGGCCCACCCTCAGCCCAGCCCATGTGGTGTGGCCTGTATTCACTCACACAGATGGGCACACACGTGGCCCGAGGAACATGTATATCACCACACGTGGACGGCGTGTGCCGTGGAACTGAGCACACAGAGCATGGCTGCCTGGACACCCTCTGACGCCACCATCTCTCCTGGTCAGCTGGGGACGTTCCTCAGACCTCAGCTTGGCTCCCCCTGCACCTGTAGGCCGTCCCTGCCCAGGAGCAGGGCTCACCTCGTCCGTGCAATTGTCGGCCGGCAAGGGCAGTGGGTCTGGGCACTGCTCTGTGGGCCCGTCCAGCTTCTGCAGGTTCCCAAACTGGAGAGGGCTCAGCCTGGCATCTGCCGGGAAGAAGCATGGGTCATGGGTGTGGCGGCTCTGAGGAGTTCCTGGGGACAGGGTCTGGGCTCCCACTTCCTGAGGCCAGGCCAGAGGACTGCCGCTCATGCCTGGGGCCAATGCCCCCGGGGCACTCCTCCCCCAACCAGGACCACAGCCCTTGTGGCCCCTCCCTGCCCGCGGCCCCCTCCCTCCTCCCCGGAACTGTGGTCCTTGGCTGACCGACATAACCGGTCGCCACCCCCTCTGCCCGTGGTACTCACTGTGGGCATAGAACTCGTTGAAGGCTGGGAGGCCGTTGAAGTCCCCGCACAGGCCGCAGGTCTGGTTGGCGTATTTGGGGTCCAGCTCCAGCTGAGAATGGGGGAGGGGCAGCTCCAGCCTCAGGGTCTCTGATCCCCCCCACTGGCCACATGCCCCACGTCCTGCGATCCCAAGCCCAGGGAAGCATCCTTCAACTCCCTGTGGGGGTTTTGCGGCCTGGTCTGGAGGACAAGGGGCAAGGGGGCTTCCTCACCAGGGCGCTGTCCTCTCCGTTCCACAGGAAGGTCAGGATTAGCCGGATGCTGACCTTGATGTAGTCCCCGCTCCGCTCCACCAGGAGGCCAGTGCGGCTGTAGGGCAGCTCCTCCCTGCACAGACAGCAGGGTCTCTCCCTGGGCCCGGCCCTCCCAGCTGCCTGCCAGCCAACCCTGCCCCAGCCCTGGCGCAGGTCAGACACGGCCACTGGGGGAGGTGGCATCGCGTGCCGGCCCTCGGGCTTCCCCAGGGTGGCCGGCTCACCGCTGCCCATTGACCAGGATGGAGCCGTTGGACACCTCCAGCACCAGCCCCTGGGCCTTGATGACAACACGGGTGACCACAGGCCTGGAGCCCACCAGGCCTCGGCGCAGCTGCACGTTGAAGTCCTCGTAGGCGGCGCCGCAGTGCTCAGAGAGCACGTAGTTGCAGAGGCCAGGAAAGCGGAAGACGTCGCCGTCAAAGGTCTTGTAGTGGAAGTCACCCCACGTGCTGCACACACGCCCGTTGTGCGCCGGGTTCATGGCTGCGGGGGACATCTCAGATGAAGCCTCCCTACCCCCACGCCACCCCCACCGGGAGCCTCCCCTGGGCCCGGGCGCCCCGGCTTTGGAGCGGAAAGGCCTGCCGTCGGCTCTCGGCCGTGCCCTGCCTGGCCCCCGCCCCCGGGCGGCCTCTGTTTCACTCCATGATGGTGATTCGTTCCCCCTCCCCATGGCGGCCCGTGACCTGGGCCTGGCCCTGTGGCCCCACCTGGTGTCAGCTGCATTCCTAGATCTGGGCCTCTACCCTTGACCCTGGCAAACCTCCCCTTCCAGCTGGCAGGGGCAGCGCCTGCTTACCGCTCAGGCTGGGGAAGACGGTGACGGGTGGAACAAAGCTCACACGCCGGGCAGACGCAGACGTCACGGAGCCTGCGGGTGAGGGCCGGTCACCCCGGGAACCTAGCCAGGAAGGGGTAGCAGAGACACCCTTCCCGGCCCTACCCTCCTCACCAGCCCCCAGAGTGGAAGGGGAGCCCAAAACTGACGGGCTGGAGACAAGGCAGCTCCTTCACCCCTTGGCCCCATCCACCCCAGAAATACTGCTGCTGTTGTGTGTTTTGGCCTCTGTGTGTATGCGTGTGCCTGTGTGCGTGTGTGTGCAGTGTGTGGTCTGTGTGTGTGCATGTGTGGGTGCCTGTGTGCAGGTGCCTGTATGCACGTGTGTGTGCCTTGTGTGTGTGCATGTGCTTGTGTGCATGTGTGTGTCTTGTGCGTGTCTGTGTGCGTGTGCGCATGTGTGCCTTGTGCATGTGTGTGAGTGCATTTGTGTCTTGTGCGTATCTGTGCATGTGCATGTGTGTGCACCTGTGTGCATGCGTGTGCGTATGTGAGTGTGCCGTGTGCATGCATGTGTGCATGTGGTTGCGTGTGCGTGTGTGTGCCTTGTGCGTGTCTGTGTGCATGTAAGAGTGTGTGTGTGTGTGTGCACCTGTGTGCATGTGCGTGTGTGCCTTGTGTGTGTGTGCTGTGTGCATGCATGTGTGCATGTGGCTGCATGTGCGTGTGTGTGCCTTGTGCATGTCTGCGTGCATGTGTGTGTGTGTGCGTGTGCACATCTCTCTGCCCTGCACTTTCTTCTTCGGAGCACCCATCCCCACCCTGGGCCAGCACTGTCCCGGGTAGGGGACCCAGGGAGAGTCTCTGTGGGACTCATGGCTGCGTGGAGAGGTGTCAGCCTGCCCCAGCCCGAATCCCAGCCCCTCCAGCCTGGTCAGGAACCCGCCGCATGAGTCCGGCCACGTACCACCGTCTGTGCTGTACCCTGCGCTCCCCCCGCTCGGCTCAGCAGGGCTCCGGGTCTCTAAAGGAAGAGGGGATGGGAGTCAGTGGGGAACCAGATGTGGCTGCCAGCCACGAACCTGGCCACGGACTTGGCCACATCCGTGGCAGCCTCATGTGGGGTCTGAGGTGGGGTCTCCATGCCCTTCAGGCTCCCCTGCATGGCATACTCTGGCCAAGTCCAGGACTCCTCCCCCGATGCTCAGGCAACCTCAACCAGCAACCACAGACGCCTCCCCTGCCACTCAATGCTATGGAAAACCTGCAGGATGGAAGCTTCCAGCAGGGCCCCTGCACTGCCCCCAGCAGGACCTGCACCCCCTGTGACCCCCACTCTCCCTGATGGACATGTGGGGTGGTGCCTCCTTCTCAAGCAATGGGGGAGGAAGATGGAATCAGGAAAAGGCGTTGGCCGCCCCAGGGGGGATTCAGCCCCATCCCAGGCGTCCCTGAAGAGGACAAAGCCTCGCTTTGTTGGGAAGACACAGCTGGAGCCTTCCGGGCGTGACCTAGCAGAAACCTAAGCCCAGAACGAGTTTCGAGTGGAACCCTAAGTCAGGGCGAGAGGGGCAGGTGGGGGCAGGCCTCAGGGCGGAGCGAGCGGTGTGGCCGTGGATGCTGTGACGGCTGCCCACTGCCTCCGTGCAGGGCCTCACCCACCGGCCCCGTGGAGGCTGGACTCTAAGCAGAGAACCCTGGAAAGAGGCAGCTGCCACCCCCAGGACTCTGAGGCCCCCTGACCCCCAGGCCTCTGTCTGCCCGGTTTGGGTTGGGGCACTTCCTTCCCGGGTCCCCAGAGCTCCTCTCTGGAGCCAGTCTGAGACAGCCCAGCCCAGGTCCGTGCTCCATGGGGAGGCAGGAGAGGGCCCAGCCCAGGCCTGTACTTCCGTGGGGATGCTGGAGGGGCGGCCGCAGTCCCTACGGCAGGGTCAGGGCTCAGCGAGGTGCCAGCACCTGTGGTGTGAGCTCTGACCTGGCGGGCCGGTGGCCGACAGCTCACATCCTGCCTGGCCTTCCCAGCCTGGTCCTGCTGACATCTGGGAACTACCGCAGGGGCTGGCTCCGGAAGCTCCCTGTGTCCTCCACCTGACCCCCAGCTCACAGCCCTGCCCACGAGTGCAGCCCAGCCCGGACACTGCCACCCATGGCGCCTGCCCCAGGCGGCCCCTCTGTGACCCAGGCAGCCCCTGCCCCGCCCAGGCTGACCGACCCTGGGCATCTGCTCCATGTGGCGCCCTCCTTGGTCTGGGCCACCTGGTCCTCCATCTTGAGGCCAGAGAAGTGCCCGCCACCAGCCACCCCGTCACCCTGGGGTGTGTCCCTTAGCATGAAGCCGCTCTGTGCAGGGCCCGCCTCGCCCTGACCACAGGGTGTGCATCTCGAGACTAGAGCACCGTCCCTGCTGAGGGCTTGACCCCCAGCTTGGATGTGCATGGGGCCCGGTGGGCTGACGGCCCCTGGCCTCCCTGCTCAAAAGAGGGGCGCCCAGGCTGCATGGCCCCGAAGAGCCGGTCGAGAGGACATGGCTATTCTGGTCAATCCAGCGCCCAAATCTTGCGGTCAGAGACAGCTCCCGCGGTCCACACTGGGAGCCACTGGAGGAAGCCCCGGGCCTCCCGCCCTGCTGACCACACAGCAAGGGGGCTTGGGTCAGGGACCCTGAGGGAACCATCCCCTCCCCTCCCTGCCTCCCTTCCACAGGTGGAGAGAGCCCCAGAGCCTTGCCTGCCCAGCCCAGACCCCAAGCTTGGGAGCGGGAGGAAGTCGAGGCCGGGAGGGGCTTCAGCAGCCTTGGGGCAGGGTGTCTCCCGGTGGCCCAAGGCCATGTCTTTCTCTGTTGACAATATTAACGCTGTGGCAGACGGCAGGTGAGGGAAACCACTTGGCTGAGAGCCCTGTGGACAGCCCCATGGGAGTCGGGCCTGGGTTCAGGCCGTGGCTCTCACAGCTGGCCGTGCAGTCCAGAGGATGGTGCCTCAGCTGCCCTGCCGGCTGTGACTCCCAGGCCGGTCATGGAGGGCAGAGCCTGTCCTGGGCAGTCCCTGCTCACTCATGCCTGGGCCTCACAGGGCCCCAGAGAGACCCTCAGCCGTGGCCCCCGCCCCCAGTGCCAACTCCTGTCCACCCCCAAGGCCAGGACCCTCTCGGGGGTCTCCCAGCGGCCCTGCTCCTCGGCCAGCGCCCGACATCTCCTGACACCCCATCCAAGCCAGCCCCTGTGTTCCCTGACACTGTGAGCAGTGGGGCCCAGGAGCCCTGTGTTGGGGACACGTAGGGTCCCATCCAGGACACTCCTGGGGGAATAGGGGATCTGCTCGTGCACGCTGCAGGAGAAGCCCCCAGGCAAGCAGCCCGCAGAGACCCCCGCTGTGAAGATGGCGTCCGGAGGGGCCGGGTGGGGGGCCCTTACCTGCCTGCCTCACCACGAGCAGGGCCACCAGGACCCACACCGGCGCCCGGCACACGCTCCGGGCACCCATCCTGGGGCTGGCACGAGGGTGGGGGCGCGGACGGGCAGGGAGGGAGCCTGGCCGGGTGCTTGCTCCCCTGGGGGCCCCGGCTTATGTAGCAGGGAGCCATGGCCCCGAGCCAGGCCAGGCCACGCAGGGCACCCTGCTCTTCTCCGCTCAAGCCACGTGTGTTTGCTCTCGGGGAGGGGCTGTGGCAGGGAAGAGGCCTGGAGCAGGAAGGATTTGCAGTTCTGTGCTCTAAGGCCAAGACGCCCCTGCCCCCAGCAACTTCTGAGAATTGGAATGGAGAGGAGAAGAGCCAGTCCCGCCTGGCACCCGTCCTAGGCAGCAAAGCTGCTGCAGTGCAGGGTGGGCCTTGGACCCAGGGTCGGTGGAACCAGTGGTCAGCCAGCCTGACTCACAGCCCCATTCTGGCTCCTGCTGGGAGGAAACCCCAGCCTCTGGGCAGCTCCCCTGGCCGCTCCCCATGGGTCCCTGAGGCCTGGGGAGGGTCCCCGAGGCTGGAGCTCCTCTCTGGCCACTGCTCAGCCAGCAGGGAGGCCCGGGACTCCTGCTCAGCTCAGGCGTGCATGTGGCCAAGACGCTCAGTCTCGGTGGCTTGTGGAGGTCCTTGGAGGAGGTCACATTTCCAGAGACCCCAGCCCAGCTGACCAGAGCCCCTCGAAGACCCTGGGAGGGCTCTGGGCTCATCTGTTTCAAGGTCCAAGTTTAAGGGGAAACCCGGGCCGGAGGGTGCCCTGGCCGTGTACCCGGGAGTCAGCTGTGCTGGTCCAACGCCAGCCCTGCCCAGGCAGGCCGCAGGCCACCAGCCCCGTGTCCATTTGGCCTCCACCTCACTCCAGGACCCCTCATTAACCCTGGCAGGGTTAAGGAAGGAGCTGCTCCTTGGGGTCCTGGACTTGCCCAGGGTCCTGAGCCTGGCCCACGTGGAGGCTGCAAAAGTCTAGCACCACTCAAGGTGGTGGGTGGGCCTTCTGGGGGCCACGTGGCAAACCCGACCAGGAACAGCCTCCACAGATGGCGTCACCTACAGGACACTCTGTCCACGCGGTAGCACCTCCTGCAAACACCCCTGCCTGCATGACCCGAGCTGGAGATGCTCCCACCCCCCGGCTCCCCGGCCGCCAGCGTCCTGAATGCTCCGAGGAGCAGACCCCAGGCGGGAAGCCCCAGGTGGGGTGGGGTGGGGTGGCCTCGTCCAGCCCCAGGGGAGCGGATGGCCCCCGGAGGTTCCTCGGAGCCCGAGGCCCGTGGCAGAGGGTGGGACCCGCCTTCCCCCTTTGTGGCAGTTTATCTGTCTCAGGGTGCGCCTCAGGCTTCTGGGGGAAGGGGGCTCCCAGATCTCAGCATGGCTCAGNGGGACCCGCCTTCCCCCTTTGTGGCAGTTTATCTGTCTCAGGGTGCGCCTCAGGCTTCTGGGGGAAGGGGGCTCCCAGATCTCAGCATGGCTCAGGCCCCAGCTCCTGCCCACTTCTGGGACTCCAGAGCATGTGCTCGGTCGCCAGCTCCCCGCACCCCACCGACGGCATCTCCAAAGCTGAAGGCTCCAGGGTCTCTTCGGTCTCCGACAGTTCCCGTCACAGGGACCCTGCACCAGCTCCCCTGCGTTTGTCTTTCTGAAGTTAAATTCTTAGCGGTGGGATTTCTGGGGCAAGACGAAAGCCCATCGGCAAGGCTTTGACCCGCCTCACACTCAACAGGACGTGGGGAACCAAGACACACAAGAAGTCAGAAGCGTTGGCTGAGACGTGGGGACCCAGGGCCCCTCGCCCGGCCGGGGCGGGACCAGCAGCTCCACTCTGCGTCCGTTCCCGGAGGCCCTGGGAGCGGCTCATGAAGGAAGGTCTGCACCCCCACATCCGTAGCAGCACCTCTGACAGGGCGAAATCTGCCTGCACGTCCACTGACGGGGGACCAGTCAGCCCCACGAGGCCGCCGCACGCGGCGGAACACAGTTCAGCTGTGAAAAGGAAAGGCTGGCCCAGGCTGCTCCATGGGGAAGCTGACACTGTGCAGAGGGGCAGGTGGACACAAAGGCAGAGGCAGGAGGGGCCTCGAGTGTGCGGCCCCCAGGGTCATGAAACCTGTGTGGACGGAGCGTGGACGGTGGGCGCCAGGGGCTGGCGGAGGGGCTCGGAGCCGGTCTTTCAGGGGACAGGGTTTCAGGTTGGGAAATGAGAACATTCTGGAGATGGCGGACAGGGACAGCAACGTGAATGGACCTGGCCTGTTTTGCCACCTGTCCCCGCTCATGGCTGAGGCCCCCTGGAGGTTCCTCGGAGCCCAAGGCCCGTGGCAGAGGCTGGGATCCGCCTTCTCCCTTTGTGGCAGTTTATCTGTCTCAGGGTGCGCCTCAGGCTTCTGGGGGAAGGGGGCTCCCAGATCTCAGCATGGCTCAGACCCCGGCTCCTGCCCACTTCCAGGACTCCAGAGCATGTGCTCGGTCGCCAGCTCCCCGCACCCCACCGACGGCATCTCCAAAGCTGAAGGTTCCAGGGTCTCTGGGATCTCCGACCTCTTTCCTATCCAGCCCGGTTGTCCCTTGACAGCGTGGCCCTGAGGTGGGCTGGGAGGCAATGACTGGCCGGTGGCCGTAAGAACGGTCAGGAGGGTGGGGTGCGCCCCACCTCGGGCTCCCCGCTGTGACTGTGCCCAGGCCCCGGCCAGACCCCTCTCCTCGGCCTTCCTGCCTGCTCCAGGCCAGGCTGGGCAAACGGGGCTCCCTGCTGCTGTGACTCCTGGTCCTCACGCTGGGGAAGGGGTGTGCCTGCTGCCTAGGCCTCTGCTGCAGATGCCCCCACTCCCCCTCCACAGATCTCCCACCTCGGCCACAAGCCCTCCTGGCCTCCCCGACCCTGCCCATGGTGCTAGCTCACAAGCTGATGCCCACCCAGGGACTGGGGCCACTCCTGATGTCTCCCTGCAGCCTCTGCTGCCTGTCCCGGCCCTCCCTGACCACAGCCAGTGCCTGCGGCCTTCATGGGGGCTGGCGGCCCACTGAGGGGCAGCCCCCTCTCCCCCAGCTCAAGCCGGGCACCTCTGCACCAGTGAGAAGCGTTTCTCCGTGGCGGGGCTGGGACCCGCAGGCAGCAGCTCCCGCCCAGCTCAGTGCCTGAGGCCCCACCCGCCCCGCCTCCACCCTGGAAGAGCCCCCAGGCAGGGGCCTCGCTCGCCTGTGGCCGGCTTGCAGTGACACCAAACCAGTGGGGCCCTGACTCTGCCTCGTCCCTCCCCCAGGCACCTCCCGGGGCAAAGGGCCCCTCAGGGACGGGGGTGGGTCCCGGGCAGGGGTCCGAGGTGGACGTCAGGGCCGCGGCTATTGAGACATCCCGGATGCGGCCGCGGGAGTCCAGCCTGTTTGCTCAGCGTGTTTGAAGAGTTCTCCTCTTCACAGTTGAAGGCGCTGAAAACAGGAGATAAAGGAAGGAAAGGGACGCAGCCGGTTCCTGCCGGGAAGGGGGGCCGGGCACAGACTCCTGGAGCGCAGGGAGCCTTCGCCTCGGACGTGCCAGGAACCTGCCCTGCGGCTCTGACGGGGTCTGAGCCAGGCCCAGCCCTGGGCGGGTCACTGTCATTCCGGCCAGGGGGCAGTGGGGACAAAGGGGCCACCTGGGCCACACAGAGCCGAACACGGGGGGGGGGGTTGATCCTGCCATGAATGAGGACCTGCCCGGGACCCCACAGAACCCTCCAGAGGCCGTCCAGGCTCCACTGGTCAGAGCCACTGTCTGCTGTCACCAGCTGCCCCAAGCCCAGCCTCTCAGCCCTGGGGGACACCCAGAGGGCTTGGCCACCGAAAAGCATCATCACCTGGGCTGGGGTCCCCGCATGGCCCAACCCTCCCCTCCCCCACCACAGGGGTGCAGGTTTGAGTTGGGCCCCAGCCTCCATCAGCCCCGGGGACTGAGTGCTGCCTGCCAGCTCCACACTGGACACGTGGGGTGTCAGGCACAGCCTGGGGGTCACAAGCAGGGCTGGGCCCTGGGTCTGCTCCGAGCCAGGCCCCAGGCCATCCTGGGACAGGGGGTGGTGGCTGTGTGGGACCCTCAGCCTCGGCGGCCTCCTGCTCCCTGGCACATGGGCCCCTGGCTCCTAGGGTGGAGGTCTCACCAGGCCGCAGGCATGCTCCAGGGAGTCACCTGCTGGTGGGCCGAGGGGCCCAGTGTGTGACGACCGAACAGGATGGGTTCAGGGCTGGGTGGGTCCAGCAAGAACGTGTCGCAGACCTTGGGGCCCCGGGTGGTGATGGGCTGCTTGCTCCTGGGTGCTGGGATGGCCAGGCCCCTGTCCCCGGTCCCCTGTCCCAATACAGATGGGGAGCTGTCCAGCAAGGCCCAGGGGTCTCAGAGCCAGTGCCAGGTGTCCAGAAGCAGCAGGTGGAGGCACGTTGGTTCTTTTCGGCCCTTAGACCCTGGTCCACCCAGCGACAGGTACGACTGGGGGCCAAATCTCCCGGTGGGACCTGAAGCTATGGGAAAGGCAGGTCACCTTCCACCTGTGCACCCCAGTGCCCTGAGCTGCCCCTGCCCGGAGGATGCCCTGCACGGGGCCTACAAGACATGGAGACCCCCTCCTCCAGGACAACCCCTGCCCTGTGCGAACTTCTGAGGCAGGAGGAAAGCCCATCTTCAAAGCTTTCCTCCAGAGGACGCTGGAGCTCCCCTTCGGCCACTGCTCAGCCAGCAGGGAGGTCTGGAGGCTCCTGCTCAGCTCAGGCGAGCACCTGGCCAGGGTGTTCCAACTGGGTGGCTTGTGGGGGTCCCCAGAGGAGGCCCCATTTCCAGAGACCCCAGCCCAGCTGACCAGAGCCCCTCGAAGACCCTGGACCCCACCACCTGTCTCTGCTTCCTCCTGCTCTTTGCCCAGGCGGCCTCTCTGCCTGTCCCCCACCCCCTTCCTTCCTGACAATTCCGAGGAGTCCAGCTGTGTTCTGGCGCTGCCCTGGGCAGCGGAATTTGACAAGGACTAGAACAGAGTCCCGCCCTTTTGAGGCTTCGGTGGCGTGGCCT